TTTGTTTTTATTGCTCTCTTTTTTTTTTGTTTTTGTGTCGTTGGTTTGTTGTGTTTGTGTGGTGCTGGGGGGGCGGGTGGGGGGGCCGCCCGCCCCCCCCCCCCCAGAGAGAGAAAGAAAAAAAAAATTAAAAGAAAAGAGAAAGAAAAGAGAGCAGAAAAAAGAGGGGGCCGCCGACGAAGATTGCGGGCGATTTAGACGACCGACACACTCGTTGAACATTTCAACGATGGCGACGGGACGGTTTGACGATTCGTTGCGACATTGTACATAATGGAGGCTCATGGTCTAGCTTGGCGATAGTGGTTCCAATAGTGGCGGCGGGAAGTTGGCGGAGAGTTGGCGCGCGCGGTGTTCGGGTCCGCGAACAGCCCGCGTTGCTCTTACAGCAGCCGAAAAGTACCTGCATGCAGCAGACATTTGGAGGCATCGACCACTCTACACTACCGGTACCTACCTAGGTATGTAAGTAGGTACGGTACCTGTCTCTATATACTATACTACCGCGGGATGGTCAAACGCCCGCCCGCACGCCCGCCCGCTGTTTGGCCGTGCGCTGACATAGTCACTATGTCGTTTCGTTCGTTTCGTTCGTGCGTGTACGAACGAAGTATGTGCTCATGCTCGTGCTCTTGGGTGTCAAGGCAGCCCCATATCGGCGTTTCTACATGGTTCCGCCGACCTACTATACCGAGCTCTACATACCTACATACATTCAGAATACATTACCTATACATTCATTATATTACTCTCACGTGCTAAGTGGGTGCCCACTGCTTACATGTACAGTATAAACGCAGACCAAGCGCGCATCTATCTATACTAAGTAAGCTCGCTCGGGTCCGAGGGTCTAGTATCGCGACCGAGACCAACATCCGAGGTAGGTAGCTATGTTTTATTTTATATACATACCTACCTAGGTACCCACTTATTCAGATAATACCTACTACTACGAAATGCCAATTCCAGCTTCGGAGCTATGTTCACACCAGTATACTACTTTACCTGGTCATATCCGAAATACGTGACGGACTGGTATGACTCTAACATGATGTCGGCGGCCTGCTTCACAGTGTACAAACGCATCCCGTATCCCGCATCCCGCATCCCTCCTACCGTTCGCTTCTCCAAGACTTGGAAAGATGACGTACCTACCTAGGTATACTGCCAGCTACCAAATATCTAAGTACCTACAGCATGTGCTCCTCTTGTCCCCCATTCTACATATCGCGTTCCCGATATCAAGCATATAGACATGGAACCAATCACTGTAGATTTGTGCACCGCTACCGCCAGTAGAAGCATCATCTATCATTGTTTGTACGTGGCCAGTATTTGCATTATACATGTGTCTGAGGTCCCATGAGAGGAGCAATGTCCGTCCTGAACTCGCCTGGCTTCCTGCCACCTTATATCCCAAGGCCTGGATGCTGTTTCCCCCCTTTTACCCACGGTAAGATTTAAATAATACTACATCCAAGAGTTGCCTTGATGGCCTATGAAGCCCATCCCATACCCACTTGCTGCGTTCGCCGCTGTCGACGTGTTGTCACCGCCCCCTGCAAACATGTCCCAGTCGAGGGCTCCTGCGTCGACAAAGCCAAGCATCTGGTCCCACGGCATGCCCAATCCCGTTGGTGCCGTCCTGTTGGCCAGTGGGTTGAAGCTCGCTGCCACATCTGAGCCTCCATCAACCTCGTCGTCGACTGGTAGTTGCTTCGCTTCTGTTGATGGTAAGACGGCCCGTAGTCTGGCAATATAGTTTGGAGTCGTTGGCACCGATCCCGTCGCCTTCTGGAGAAAGGCCTCTCGCGCCTTCCAAGCCCGAATCACGAGAATGCCGAGTGCGAGATGTGTCTTACTGGAAAGGGTCAAGAGCTCCTGATGAAATCGGTAATGTTCCTCCACAGCCGCCCATGCCCTCTCTACAAGGCCTCCCGCTGTCCGCTCACACAGCTGGCCCGCCATGTATATCAACATCTCGGCTTGGAACTGGTTAAGCACTATTGCCGGACGTTAGTCGCGTTCGATCTATGCCTGAATTAGTGACCACATACTGAACCACAAAAACTGCCCCTGCAATCGTGTCTTGTGGTATAATCTCAAGTCCGTCTCTAAACCAGCCACACAAATCTTGAACAAATTGTCCGCACTGCTGTGGATTTCTGTACCCCACTGTAATTGATGAAGAAGTTAGCATAGTGTATTGAATAAAGGACGGCGGAAAAGGGCCAAGGGGTTGAAAGGTGAAGGGTTCACACACCTCAGGCTGTTCCTTAGCAGGACAAATAAGATCCTGGCACTTGGAGATGAGTAAATGTCGTGTCTCTGCAGCTAGCTCGTGTATAGGGCCCATGGAAGGGTCACAATGGTTGTCCAGAATGTTGCTGATAGACTGGTCTAGCTCATGAATTCGTCGCCGCGCTTTTTCTACTTCTTCCGCAGGCGCCTTATCGGGTAGGCCGGTCTAGCGACAGATCGAGCGTTAATACTTGCTATGTGCATATTGTGCGTTGAGAGTTTCGGCGCACCGCAGGAAAGTGAAGGTGATTAGTTCCCGTCATTGATCGTTTCCTCTCGGGACGTGAGAACAAGGAGATACGAGAATAGGCTACTGACCTCATTACCTAGAATGATAGCCTCTAAATGTGGTGTGTCCATCAGCATCTTTGCCATCTCGTAGCATACCAAGCAATAGATCATATCTGTTGGGCCGCTCCTCGGTTGCAGTGTTGTCATAGTGGGGTATAGGTCTGCATCGTTTATATTATTGGGTTGTTTAGTATCCCATGACCGTGGGATAAGAGACTGGCCGAGACCAGACATGAGAGCATAGACTGTATCAATGAGGATAATTTGCCACCACACCCGCCTCCGCATCTCGGTTTCAAAAGGGGGGAGCCCGAGTAACTCGCCATCCCTATGTAAGCCCATCTTTTGCGCGACCCTCACAGTGATGCCATTGAGGATCCATGCGGCATGGCGATCGACACGACCTGACAGTGAGAACTAGGTTTGTTAATGTTACAGTTATAACAAGACAATACTGATGAACTTACGAAGTACAAGACCAAGGCTTGTAGGACGACGAGATCATAGGTTTTTAGTATGCCGATACGCATCAGGGCAATCCGGCAACCCGTGGAAAACCGTTGATAAGCCTCTTCCTTTCCGCAGCCCAGCTGCTGTTGACACTCCTTTTCATTCAACGCGACGACGCCCATAGCGTAGATGGAGAAGAGGAGTGCGTCAACATTTTTCGGGATGGAACTGGGATCTGTCGTGGCCTCTACTAATTTGGGCTGTACCGAGGGGACATGGATCACTTTGGTTAACGGGTTAACTTTTTCGAGAAAAGTCTGCCACAGGCGGAAAGCGTGGGCTGGTGATGGCCGGTAGTCTTCAACATTACCGTCTGTACCTTCTGAGAGGATTAGGCTCGAATGAAGCTCTGGCGTGCGAGCGTCTGCAGGGGTACAATGATCCTCGAGTTCGTCGTCTTCTAGTATTTCGCGCATGGCAGAGATCTATGACGAGATTAACACCAACGAAATACCTACGGCTGTTAATTTTTTCTTTTTTGAAAAAATCAAAAATAAAAAATAAAAAAATAAAAAAATAAAATAAAAAATACTCCAAACAACTTTACATAAGTAATTTGTGACATGTAGTGAACTCACTTACTTCGCGATGCACGGTAGCCCAGAGGTGGCTATCTGTGAATTTGGTGCCATCATCGTCGATGACCAACCTGCCCATGGGCCTCCAAGAATCATCGCGGGTTATGAAATCATTACTAGACGGAGTGCGCGGGTTTGTTGTATACTCGGAGAGCAGTTCTTCGCAGCGCGCGAGCCTCTGCTGTAAGTCCTGGTTGGGCCGCCTACGCTTGCGCGGCGGCGCCGGAGTGCTCGGGGTGCACGGAACATTTGCCTGGGCGACACAGTTTAGTGAGGTCCAGGCCGATTATCACACAGGTTACTGACCTTGACTGCATTTTTGAAGGCTGAGTTAGCCCATACGAGTGGATTATCAGGAGGAGAGGGGATCTTCTAACCGCAATTTGAGCAAGGAGTATGACGGTCACATTTAATCTTGCGGTTTTGGCACTGCCGCGAAAGAGGTAATAAGTATATGAACTGAACGATTTAGTAGCACGTGGAAACAAAGGGGGAAACACGAGCGAGAGATGATCTGAATGGAGCGGTGGCAGGAAATCTCACGAGCACACAGGCGAGGATTCTCGGGGTCTTCCCCATCGCGGAAGCCATTGTTTCAATGCTAGCCTAGGGGATTCAAGATGGAAGTCAGGTGGGATGCTGGTGGTGGTGGGGAGGGGGGGGAGCGTGTAAGTCGTCGGCAATAAAGGCGTCGGCCCCGGGTGGAATCATCAGCCTGTATAAGAAAAACTATGAAACCAGTCAGAGAACCATAGCTAGGCAGGCGTATTACCGGGCGGGCGGACAGCCTAACAACCACTCGTAGCCGCAACCAGATTTGATGCTGAATAGGATGGAACGGGCTGCCTAATCACATGCTAGGCTGGTGGTCAATTGGCGGAGCCGTCCAGGCTGACAGGCTTTACAGTACTAGGTAGACAAAGAGCACCTGGACGCGGCGCGGGCGGTAGGGCGGTAGGGTGGTAGGGATGCAAATGCTGTACTGAGTACAGTACCACCTGAACCGGATACGTCAGCACCCGCAACGGTGTGTGAATGGAGACGTTATTGCTGGCGCCACAGCATGTAATCAGGTACCTGCAACGGGATGATTGGAGATGCCCAGCCTCTCCAATTGACTTGAGATATATAAATAAATATATAAATATATTCACATATCCCTCCAAGGATGCAGGCACTGTGGGGGGGGAGGTGGGACGCCTAGCTGAGACAAGAACAGAGACAAAGATCTATCGAGTAGTAGGTATTTGACTCATGTGCGGTTCCGGGACAAGACGGAAGTAGTACAGGATGTAGGATGTGCGACTAGGTCTGTTGAGTCTGTCTGGGTACGTAGTGGTGTGTACTGTATATCAAAGTGACTCACTTCTCCCTGATTATTCGTCTCTTTTTCCTTGCCCCTCTCGCCCCTTTCTTTCTCTTACATGAGGTATCTAGCTGAAGAGCAGTACACAAGCATGCCCACCAACTACTACCGTAGGTAGGTAGGAGGTAATCCTCGTCGTCGTAATGGTGGCAGTCCAGCGAGTGGGTGGGAGGGCGAGTGAGTATGTCATCCGAGTGCCCTAGGGCAGCTAAGTTCTACGAGTACCGGTACCGGTAGGTGCAGAGTAGGTGAGAAGACAAGACTAGGTTAAGTGGTTTCAACGGGCACTTATCAACTTTTATCTTTCCTTTCAGCCCAGCGTTGCTGGCATTTGGGTCCATACCTAGGTAGTAGGTAGGTATTGGCAATGGCATTGCGGCTTGCTCGACACTCCGCTCAGTGCTGGGCACCCACCTCCGACGGTTCACTCACCCCGCTGTAGTAGGGCTGTGGGGGAGCGAAGCTGCTCGACCAATCTAGAATTGTCCAACAAATCGAGATGGCTGAACTCCGCCAATGCCATCCTACTGTGTACTGTATCGCAATACATGCCTCTGACATGCCTAGTAACTCCTTGCATTGTTGTTATGTGCTGTTTCTGTGCTGTCTATCTCAAAGTGTGTAGCTCTGTGTGAATTCCTCCATAGTTGGCTCTACGCATGGGCCTACTAGTCCGCTTGCTTCATGACCTGTCTATGCCTTCGCAATCCAATCATTAAAGTCGTGCTATGATTATGAGCTATAATTGTATTAGCTGCCTACATTGCTTTGTGTGCTTAGGTCGTATCGCCAATATCGCGAAGCTGTCCACTAAGGGTCAGAGAGAACCCCAGCTTGATAAGAGTTGAGGTAGAACTCCCGTTGACTGGGTAAGCCTTTGAGTCAAGTTATGTACCTACATAAGTACATGTATAGATGAAGGGGAAAGTTCGCATTTAGGCGTCCAGTGAGTGGTCAACTCACCAAGTTTTCTCTACAGCCTCAAATTTGACGCCTACATCATACCAAGTAAGCAGTATCCATACGTTACCACGTACACACGACTTTGATTGGTAAGTATCTACATGACCCCGGACATTGCGTCATCTGCCAATCTTTCCTTACAATCTTCTTAGCATGTAATACTCGACTTGCTGCGCAAATCGAGATGCGAATCTTGAACCTAAATCTCAAAGACTCTGAGGGCAATGAGCCGGTTGCTCTTTCTCTCTGTGCCCCCGAACGACGCAGGTATCGACGGACAATGGATCGGTTATTCCATTTTTCTCAGTGACACCGGTAACGTCTTGATTGGTTTTACCAAAGAGCAGTAGCCAGAGAAAGGGTATTGTTCTACGTGGTGAATAATATATGGACAGATATAGAACATGCCTCTCGTTTCATACCTTTGTGAACTCGCCGCCACCTACCCATATACCTACCCTCAATAGATGGAACACGCCTGGAATATATCAGCCATCCATTAGTCTATCATATGATCCCAACAAGAACAAGAAGGTACCGGAAAAAGAATAATTGTCCTGGATATAATCGTACCAAATTCCCATCTCCGAAATGCTATGGCAAGTGTTTTTTGCTCTGTTCCCTACCGATACGCCGTACGATGCAGAGACGCCGGTTTATGCACACAAACAGACTCTACCTTGCCCCATGTCTAGCAATCACCACCAGTGCAACTATCCCGCACTTTTCTTCGTTTTCGTTATTGAGGGAAACACTATACATCCAAACTCTTCACACAGGTCCATAAGACTATAGGTACTACGACGTTATCATTCCCACCAGTGAGTACAGCCTCCGTAAGACTGGCCATGCTGGCACATGTGCCCATTTTATGTATCGTGGTTTGCCAAGTATCGGCGGATCGGTTGGTGGCAAGCCATCCGCCAAGGCGCAGCCATAAGTGAGCGGCCATAAGACCTATGAATACGGCTGTTGCGAAGGCAACGCTTCCCTCTAGACTTTTCCCTCCGCCCCAGAACCACTTACGGCGTCCGTAGCGTCGCCCAATTAAGGAAGCGGCTGCGTCGCCCAGGCCCACACATACGACACCAGATACCATAGCAACTTCGCGGGTGGGCACGTCCCAACCTCTTAGGTGCCCGTGGCCAGTTCTAGAGAGGGATCCCAGAGATAACCAAAGGGGAATGGCACATCCGATGAGGAGGAAAATATGTGAGATAACAACGGGACCCCTAAGATCCCGGCCATCGACATAAGGGGCCAAAAAGACAGCAAGTGGTTTAGATAAAGGCGGTAACTGACTAGCCCGCAGCAGATCCAGAAGTAGAAACGTAGCGAGGACGATGGAAAGTGCCAGGGCTACAAAGCATGGGTCAATGTATACCGCCGGGAGGAACATGGCCACCATCATAAAATGAAAGACTTTGCGACGCGTGTCTACTTCGCACACAGGTGACAAACTGAAGACCATAATGAGACCAATTGTGATTATGGCTATGCAGTATGCACTTAGGACTAGGCGAGTATTTGCCTCGCCGAAGGACAAGCGTAGGTGCTCTACCCATCCATCCTGTAGGGGTTGGCTCATATATCGAGATGACCTAAGTGGAAGGCAGATCCACGATCCCAGATTGTGGCTAACCACCTGCCACCGGAACCACTGAATATCCCCGAATAGATAGCCTAATGCCCAACCGACAGGTTCGTCGCCTTGTAATGAGTCTTGCATGACGACGTCCTTGACGCCAATCGCGGATATGGGGATAAATATAGCGCCAATTATGCAAACATAAACGTAGAAAGCATAAATCCACTTTCGGAAGACTGCTTGTCTATAGGTGAGCGAGACAAATGTATTTAATGACAAGGATGCCGATCGCTTTTTTCGGCCAGAAGGTGTATGGGTTTGGGGTTTTCGTTGTCTACCGGTTCCTGGTAGGGTGTGTCTACGAAGCTGTGTTGTTTCAGTCTTCTCTGTGACTTGGCTGACATCCAAGGTATCATTTGGCTCATGATCCTGGAGGTGGGAAGCACCGTCGGTACCGGTGGACCGCACTCGAGCGAGTCCTCTCGACATCTGGGAAATGAGGTCATCTGTGTCATCCGGATCATCAATAGCTTCGCAAGAGCTGCAGGAAGAGCTGTCCAAGGGCGCATGAAATAAATCATGCCTCATCCTCTGCCACGACATCACTGTTGAGAGGAAAGTAATATGTCGCGTCTTGGAAGTCGATGGGCGCTTGAAGCGCCATTTGGGTATACGGGCAAGCGCTATGCCCCAACGAATTGGTTTGCTACACGACACTAGTATATCAAGGCCACCCACCCATAGCATTGCCTTCAAGATGGTGATCTGTGGGGAGGAGGATAATAGAAGGATATTGATAAGACCGATAGAGAGCAGTTGCAGCTCGGCTGCGAGGAGACTGGTAGTCATCAGGCGGTTTAAAACGCTGAGAAGACTGTGATGCAAGGGATAGAGGAGAATTGCTGTCTCTGGAGAAAGGGCCATTGGTAGTCCGCTAGCGCTCCCATCTTTAACTAAAGGCACTGATGTCAAAATCCAGTGAAGGGAGCTCAAATCTTCGCCATCCAAGGACAGCGTAGGAATTAATGGTGGTGGTATGGAGCACAGCGCGAGGATAATGTTAGGAAGTAGTAAGGTTGGATTATCGACGGCGATCAGTGATGAAACTAAGACTGTCAAGGCCGGAGGGTAGAAAAGGGGCGCGGGATCGAACGACGATGGCACCTTGATAGGTACCTTTTTCGACGGCCTCCGATTCCAATATGCCCAAGTTACCAAGCGTAGTGGATATAGAAGGACAAGGGTTACTACCACTCCTACAGCTTGGCCGAGTTCTGCACAGAATTCCGTCAATTAGCTTTCCCACCAAAGTCAGCGCGGCGCGAGGATTCATATTTACCACGGCTTGACTTCTGTAAGACAGGCCACACTCGCGTGTTGGCTTGTACACATAGACCCAATATACCGATAATTAGTAGCTCGGCCAAGCGACGAATGATTTCCTTGGTACGCTTTTTTCTCAACTTATCTGAGACGAGAGCGGAGGTCTGACTGGGGGCTGACCTGTCCTTCTTTGCGTTGAGAGCAAGTCGTATCTCTTCTTCATCGTGAGGCGCGAGATAAGGAGTGGACGCGCCTGAAGAAGCCTCATTACGTCCGCGCAAGCCCTTGTGCAATCTCCTCGGGGCTGGTAGCCCCTTTAGATAGTGCTCATCGTCGGCTTCGGTACCACTGTCGGTAGGCGGCGGGCTTTGCCGTTTAGTGGAATAGCAGCTAGAGGGTTCGAGCAGCTCGGAGATTTGGCGATGGTATGGGTGAGGAGACCTCGATAATGATCTCAGCTTGTCGTGTTCGGTGTGGTTTAAGACATGTTCAGAAGAGCTCGCTGAGAGGCCGAACTGGTCAGGCATATCGGGGGTGGACCAATTGGCCTCGGCGCATTCAGTGACATGGAGACAGGTAGGTAGGGAGATGGCCTTGGACTACCTAGCGGTCGATGTATCGAAACCGGTGGAAGAGTTGAGACAGAAGCAGCCGATCTAGGTGGTGGAAATGTTTCTGCAGTTGCATACATGTATACATTCACATGCGTTTCACTAGGTATGATGGATTGACTATCACTATGAACCATTCACCGTGTCTGGCCGTGTACAGGTTCTGGGTAACTATGTGGAGACGGCTACTGTGGGGGTACCTAGGTACCGTATACCTTCAGTTCTGCTGGCTACAGCACTTGCTGGTCGAATATTCAATAAAGCACTTTTAGCTTCGGGCGCCTTGGTATTCTCCTTCACTACTTAGGTAAGTACCTATGTACCTTGGTAATCATAAGCTCAGCTGTAGGCAATTTCTCATTTCCAATTTATTTCGTAACCCTATGTCTATCGATAAGGTTCGTTGAGTACCTATTAGGTACCTTGTAGGCACCCACTTGTACTTAAGTACAACACTGAGAAAGAAGAACAAAATCAACCAAAAAGGGTGAGATGGTATTAAAAAAGAATAATGAAAATAAAAAAAAACCCAACTCTTTGTTCCCACATATAGGCCTGCTGTATTTTCTCGGTAGTTATGGTTTACCGAACGCCTTTTGAAGCCATGGTGCCCCCTTCCATCGTATGATGTATTCGTGATATGTAACACATATGAATCTTGAGCTGCGCACCGACGAAGCTAAGGATGTTGACCGTGGCTTGAATAAAGCTCCACGTGGGGCGCTTTCCAAGGCAACCGATATGCTTATTAGATTTCATGGAGGGCGCATGCCGATGCCTTACCTCTACTTACTTAGGTATCTGAATGTAGGTACGTGTACACATGTATGTATACACGTACGAAGTAAGTTGCGGATGACGCAAATCATCTCGTATTCAGTTCCGGGCCGGAGCTCACCAGCCGGCGTATGCTAGGTTAATCCGCTAGTACCAGTGGAGACTTAAGTAGGCACCCTCATCCAAAACGTCATTGGTTCCACCTTGTTTGGACCCCGCCAGATCTTTCTTCACATCTTCAAGACGGAAAGAGACCGAGGCAGATAAGAGCCCGATGCTCTGCGTACCTAGGTAGCTGAGCGGCACCCTAGGTACTTAATCATAGCTACCGTAAGGTCGTTGAACCTGCACACGTTTCTACCTACCTAGGTAAGTACATATGTAGGTGGTCTCGGTAGTGTAAGTATAGATAGATACCTATACTGTATTGAGTGGGTGGGGCTTATGGTGGGGAATGGAGGCTTAGCGTCGAGAGGTTGGTTGCCAATGGGCCGGGATTGCCGAGCCTCTTAAAGCTCCCACATAGTATCGTCAGCACTTCTAGAACACGAGGAATCAAGAAAAAGAACCTGGAACGTTATGGAGGCATTCTCCATCTACCAGTCATGATGAAATGGCAACACAAGGCAGATAAGGTAAAGCAGTGTCCTGCCTACTCCTAGATGGACATTTCATCACGAAGGTATAGGCCCAGTATCTAGATGTCTGGCTGCTACCCAAGTACGGCAGGCTTCCGTCCCAAATCTATCTACAAACGATACTAGGTAGGTAATGCTAGGTAGGCTCAGCTGTGCCGTCTGATGTAATCCCGCCAGCAAGCTTCAGATTCTAGCACGGCTTATGGTCCTACCCATTATCTACCTGCTACATAGGTATCGTATCCCATACGCTTCAGTGCACAACTCTTCATGTCCAAGTACGCTACATGGCATCCACCAATCGGACCCTAAACACAGTGCATGATGCTCTGGCACCACCCACCCGGTCGGTACACGAGAGACTAAAGATGTAAGTAAAGATGCGGCTCGAATCAAGGTGGCCTAGCTTAACGAGTTGGCTAACCGTCCGTAGTGTAACGCCCAGTCCCCTCAATTGCATGGGTGCTGCTACCTACTGGCCCACCTACTTCTCTTAGAAATATATACGGCCGTTCTCCTCCTCTCCTCTATTGTACCTCTCGCCTCGCTCTGTGTGTTGTGTGTGTGCGCGCCTCTATGTGAGAGATAGCAGCGTGAGGTTTCTTTACGATCTGGTTCAGCCTGACTTCGACCCAACCCTTCAGAGATACCGTCCTCCGTGACTTAGAGTGTCAAGCCGTGGGAACTCTAGGTTGTGCCGACACCATGCCAAATATACGGGCAATTCTTTTTGCGTTTTTGGTCTATATTACTTTCACGGCTGCTTTGACAGATGCAGCCTCTTTCGGCCTAAGGGCATCGGCGGAGGATATTGCAGGGGCAGAAGATGTCGATTCTAATGTAAATCAAGACAAGGATCGGGCAACTTTCTCTAATCTGTTGAGCGCCGTCTCACCTCAAGCTCTGGATCAACTTCTTCACCAGTACGCTCCCGGCACCTTCAAGAACGGTGTCTCGGGTCCAGACCGCAAATCTGCTGAAGCAATTTCTGCAAGGGCCCCCGAGCTTCCCTCCAGTATCGTTCGTATGGCTATTCGACAAGCAACATCTGGAAACGATACATCCACCTCGGACACAACGACTTCTCCCACGTCTACTACATCGGACACACTGTCGACAACATCAACTACATCAACTGATGAGCCAACTACATCGACAGAGCAAACGCCTACGGAGACAATAAGCACTTCCCAAGATACACCTACGTCACCATCATCGACTCCAGAAGCGACGCCAACTCCTACCTCCACATCGACTTCTATCCCTACCAGTACCTCTACCACGGAGATTACAGAGACCACGGAACCAGTTGAAACTACCAGAACTACCGAAACGTCTGGCCCTACCTCGTCATCTTCGTTACAGACCCCTGAGTCTTCCAGTGATACAGATTTTTCGACTAGTAAGTGAAGGCAGATTGCTGAAGTAGCCCCGTCGTAAACTGGCTTGATGACTGTCTTGAAAATGGTTAAATCAAGTAACTGTCCATGATCCTGGTTCATATTAGATGATTTGTTTACTCTTGGTTATTCATAAACCTACTCTTTCAACCCGTCCCTCTAGCCTCACTTCATCTCACCAAAGCTTGTATATTCATGTTCTAACACTTTCTAGCCTCGACATTTTCAACATCAACTACCCCTACCCCAACATCGAAGACCTCGACATTCACATCTACACTCCCCGGTGGCGCTGTGACGACAATCACGGAGGTTGCGATCATCACGCCCGAGGTTACAGATACGGACGGGGAGAGTACCCCCACGACCGGTATCGGCAATCTACAGACTGGTTCCGCGGCTCCGATTGTAAGAAGTCCCGGGCTCGAAGTTTTCGCCGGGTTACTCATTGGTGGCGTCATGATGGTTTAATAACAGCCATACATACATCAAAAATTCCATATGCTGGGCGGGGAGGAGGTTTTCAAACTAGGCTAAAGAAATCTAAAGCGCTGGGCACGGTGAATGAATTCTTAGACATTCAGCAATGACTAATCACACGCGACATTCAGCTACATGAGGCCAATTCCAGAGCATGGAAAGCCTTGAGGCAGTAGCTATCAACAGCATCAACCATAATTTGGGCGGTATCACGTGTGGGCATAATTACTCTGGCATAACAACTACGGCATCGGCAGGGAAATAGCAAGCTGTGAAGTAATAACGAAAACAAGGCAATACGGATTTCAAATTAGGAAGAGGACAATAATCTTGATGAGAACCCTTCATCAGCGTTTCATGACGAAGCCATTCATTTTTGCTAGTCCATGATTCGCGAGCCCATACATGCAGGCATACATTGATGTATCCCAGTTTCGCTGATGTTTGGCTTTCGTGGCAGAGCTGACATCTGATGTTGTTTCATTCACACCACATACATGACGGAATATCGTGGCTCTTAAAATTATCACCACGTTGCGGGCGCCGAGCGTATTAACGGCCCCGAAACGGTATTGTGTTCACTTCGAGCTCTCGCGTACGCCTTCCCGCCGTTGCGTTCAGCTATAGTTACCGCCTATGATGTAGCTACCTATTGTCAAGTCGGAGAGCTCATTGAGAGACGGGGTGTTCGGCTAAGTCACGAGACGGTCTTGTGTAAGTTGGGCCGCCGGTTTGTTTGGAGAGGTTACTAGATTGTAGATCGTGGAATGTGGTAGCAGAACGCAAAGCTTGACTCGTCCAGCCGGAGTATTCCTCAAAAATATACATTGTCTGAATCCGATATCATAGTTTCAAATCAGAAGCAGTAAGCTGCAAATTGTGCCTCCAACACTCGGCGAGAACACATATGGTCGTCAACCGCGGGGCGGCCATTTGCTGTTTGATATTGTTAAAGGTAGCTGTGCTGTTTATCCAGGGCCGATCTTGGGCATATCATGGTGCTCGCTTAGTTTGGATAGATATGTGTTCAAGCTTTCTACTCTTTCCTTATGCGTTTTTCGTATCTCTGAAGCCAGGGCAGGATCCTCAAGCATTCGTTGCATCTGTGACGTGCGTTTCATGTCAGCGTTTCGTACCTTCAATCGCTCAAGCCCGTCAAGAGTAGTAACGACGCCAATAAATATACATAATTATGTATACGTGCGTAGCTTACCTTCTTCTTCATCGCCTCTTCATGCCGCCGTTCGGCTTCTGTCTTATACTCGGGCTCGGGATCAGATTCGGGGGCATTTGCCCCTGCCTTTTCAACATCTTTGACCTCTGCTATCTCCGATGGCGTCTCAACTGCAGGCGTACCTGATAAGGCACGTTCGAGGCTTGCCGATTTGTCTTTGTCTTTGTCTTTGTCTTTGTCTTTGTCTTTGCTCTTGCTCTTGCTCTTGCTCTTGCTCTTCTTCTGCTTCTTGGTCTTCTGGATTTTCGCACCTTTCAGTTTGAGGGCGCCTCCGGACCCCGCCGACACGTAATCGTCTGTCGGCATAGATTCCTATGGGGGTGGGGCGTGCTCTGTACCGAGTTAGACAGAGGCACAACAAGACGTAGTCCGCGAGATCAACACATAATTAGATTATATCGTGGTTGCGGGATTACATGGGATACATACTATGTAGGTACTAGTCCCTGGTGTCAAAGACAGTTGGAAGACAGCTGGCAAACCTAGGTACAGGTGGGTAAGTAGCCACGCCTAGCTCTTAGATGGCCCCACCTAGCCCACGAAAATTGCTCATAAGCTGCACTGGAGGCTCCAAACTTTCTCCCTTTCTTCTTCTTTTCTTCTTCAGATCAAAAAGTATTCACAGAGTCGCCACGACCATCACCTCGATAATTTACAGTGATGAGTTGCCATTCCCTATATGGGAATTTACTCTGGAGAACAACCTCCTTACTAGGAAGTTTCCCGCTCGTCTTCGGACTGTGGACGGGGGATGTCGATTTGAAAGGAAACATACTACAATTCTACTGGTATACTTTTTTATCCCGCATGTTGGTCGGCGTAGGGTGAAGCGCCTAGTGATATATTTGCAGTAGTGCTGTACGTAGAAGTATGAGGATGATATTAATGCTCAGTGGCGGCAAGCTTGGATAGCTTGCGCGTCTCAGCTGGGATCGAGGTGTTGTGGATCTCATGCTTGTTATGGCGTGTGCGCATTTCTTCTGCGTTGCCTTGCCCTTTCCGAGATATCAGTGTAATTTGCATGGTCAGGCATATATTGTGTTCGTGGCACGCGCGGATCGAGTGTTGTGTTTTGCTGATGCTAGGCACCAGAATGCAGATGGGACACAAAGCATGGCTGGTCTCACTCATTATTATGTCTGGAATGTCCTGGGCGTCACATTGATGCTGACGCTCTGTATATTAGGGCCCCAGCTACAATCTCAGTGCTCTGCACCTAAGGAATGCCTTGAAATCACCGCATCATTCCCATTATCGTTCAATCCCACCAGATACCTGCCAGTGAGATTTGTTATGGATCACTCGTTGCTATGTTCTGGAAACCAAGAGACAACATCTGCTTGTCCGCAATGATGATGCCGTCATCCACCTCATGTATAAAGTTGCGGCTCGCCCATCAGTAATCGTTGCTCTCATTACCACCCCCATCGCATCTGCCTCCCACTTGGTTATCACAGTCATTCGTTTCAAGCCTCACGGCTCTCACACTCCTTTGCCAATATCCCTCGTTCTAACTTGGAAAAACACGCTCTTTTTCGATAACCACAGTACTTGTTTGATTATAAATAATTTATTAATCCTATATTCATCGCATCGGTACATTCACATTCGTCAACATGTCTCTCACCAACATTACTTCGTCGGCTTTCTTGTACTGCCCTCCTGTCACGCAGACTAGCTACACCACAATCTATGAAACTGTCCTGCCTGCTGCCTGCGAGACGAGCAAATGGTTGGCTACCTACACAATCACAGAGACTTGCGTCGGTGAGAAGTCCGCCTATGTCACCCCTACCATGCCTCCAGGATTCGTGGTCACCACCGTCAGCTGTCCCGTCTGTCCCGAGTCCGAAGTGGTTATTACATGCCCTGGCGCACAGCCCACGGGTTGGGGCAAGCCTACCGTACAGATTGGTGGAAACGGTGTTACCGCTACCATTATTGCTACACCAGGTCCAGCACCTACCAATGGCGGAAATGGAGGCAACGGCGGTAACGGTGGCAACGGCGGTAATGGAGGCAACGGTGGTGGTAATGGCGGCAATGGAGGCAATGGCGGAAACGGTGGTAATGGAGGGAGTGGCAGCAATGGAACTAGTGGCGGAAATGGAGGCAACGGCGGCGTAAACAACTACAGCAAGGGCAATGGCACCATCAGCAACCCTCCGGTGGCAGTCACCGCTGCTGCTGCGACACTGAAGAGGTCTTTGATGGTCGGCGCCGGGTTGGCCTTCATGGTCGGCCCCTTCATCCTTCTATGAGCTTTACTCTGAGTCTTGTTCTGAGGTTCCCAGTTGGTTTGACTTTGATGGCCCTTGGCAAGACGGGATTCCTTTTCTGTTCGATATGGTTAATGAATTATGTCTTTTCATTAGCGAAGAAAGTGGTATAGGATACATGGGGGTCTGACCTTTTTCGATATTCTGTCATTATATTTCTTTGTTCTTCCATCACCCTTTTTTTCCTTCTAGTCGACGCAATCATCTGCATTAATTGATACAAAAATTGAACGCTTTGAACACTATTGCTAAATTGTTGTCCCTGACCCTGCGAACGTCTCTAGGTGTTGCACATATAAAAATATACAATATAGTGAACTTTTCACACGCTCTGCCCATAAACGTATATACACTGCCCTCGGTATTCCGAGTCAGACATTTGCTATGATACCTGTTCTTTTTTTCGTTTAAAGAGATGACTATCCTCTATATGCTTCCTCTATTCGACCCCCACCAGACCGCTAATAGCGTGTGAAAGCCTTAGTCAGATTTACATTATATAGATTCAACCTGATAGTTGTCAACAATATCTATTAGAGCAGCCAAAAAAACCAGGCCAGCAGCGTCCACTGTAGTTGACATAATCCGCCCCGTCCCCTATGGGGCTCCGGTAACTCAATTGGATTGTATGATCGTGCTCGGTGCTTATACCGAACTCTTACGTCTCTTTTTTTTGGTCAGCTCTCTGTGTGAAAATATCCTCTAATACTATCTCTCAACCCTCTCTTGCAGAACTAGCAATGCACCGTACTAGCCTGTTTTACGCATTCAGGATAATTCAACCACGAACAAAGGAGCTGGGGTTTTAAATGCCCACATAACGGTTATTGTTGTGAGTTGAACATCTTCTTGATTCTCCTCGCAAAGTTTGACCACAGTGTTATTACTGACCAATTTGTGATGCTCCATTCACCACTCCATCCGGTATAGGGCTGGCGTGAGTGGGAAACATTGTTCTTATCCTTTATTCCTACTCTCATAATTTCGTCTTGGTTAGGTACAACGATTGAACCAAAAGATGGAGAAGAGTCTACAGAAGTACCTCAGACATTACAAGGTTACCGCCCTAGAGAATTATCTAGATGAACTAATCTCCAAAAATGAGGCTCATTTTCAGATTGTGGGATATGGGATCTCGCCTTGTAATGACGGTTATCGATACACGAAGGCAGGAGCCGCTAGCGACGATGCTTCGCTCTGGACCCACATAGTCATTTCAGTAAAAGGAATCGTCAGCAAACACTTGGCAGAAGATATACTTGAAAGTATTGATAAGGAGATATCCTCGAAGCTGTCGCCAGAGCAAAAGCCGCCACGAGTCTCGTATACTCTTGATGACGACTCGAACACGCTATATCGAGCGAGATCACCCAGGATTAAGGGGACCCTACCGGATGCTCGTGGAAGCCCAAAAATACCGGCTCACGAGGAAACGGACCTTACACCCCTGGGAAGCCCTAGAGGTGGTTATGTTGTCAAGTCCAATTTCATAGACGTTGAAATAGCTTTTGAGGATCGCGGTTAGTGGCGTCTCCGCTGGTTGCTCAACAGTGTTAAAAAGTAAATCGCTGTCACGTGCTCGTATAATAGGCTATCTGAGCTGTGAGAGACCGAGTCATATCCAGTGGACGGATACTGGGTCGTAGAAATGATAGCTTATTTTACGGCGCAGAACCTTAGTAACATTGTCAAAGTCTCTAGTATATCGACTGCGTGATTATTGCTAGATATCCACTGAACAAGTAGACCAAGTTGACGCTCGTAGCTATTCTCTTATAAGAGAACAAGCCGGTTACGGTCATCAACATAGCTATTCTAACGTAGTCATCGTTGCCACATCGATGGATTCAAAGTAAGGGAGATAAGCAGGTAAACTATTGAGTACAGAGTTGGGAGAAGTCAGGGCTGTCTTCAAGGCTGTCCAATGAGCTATGAAGCTGTTCCCATGCGACCGGTTCGTGGTTATCGACCTACTTCTTTGGGTAAGATGCCTAGCACCACACGTGGAACTGATCCTGGTAGGGCCAGGGTCGCTTCATGCAATCCCAACGTGATCTAGACCTCAATTTGGCAACGCGAGAGTTGGAAGACCGCGGGTTCGCTATCTCCTGAGTAGTTACAAGGTTAGCTTACAAGGAGCTGAATTCCTTAGGTAGTAGGTATCCCAGTACTGTATAATTATATGTCAAGACAACTTATTAATCGCGCAAGGTCGTGATTGATTTCAGATGTACCTTATATATAAGTGATCACGAGCCTCATCCCATCGACAATATAGATCCTTGTTTCCATTTCCCAAGCTTTTAGGAGCAACCTTGGCCACTGCTTGGCTTCTTGATCGTCTTGGCGTGTCCCCACCCTGGGTTTATTTTGGAGACTTTGGTTTGAGGAAATCAAGCAGTTATGGCTGTTAAGCATATTGCCGGCGTCGTCGCGACGTCGCTGGCTATTGCTCTCGCCCCAGTCGCGCTGGCCTGCGAGGGCTGCTATGCACCGGCCAGCCATATAGAACACGTTCGTCATGTCAAGCGCATGCAGCCAGAAGCCCTCAATGCTTCCTACGGACCCACGAGGGCTTTGGAATGGGGTCAGCTGAATTTCCTGCATACTGTATGTACTTTCTCATGTCAATCCCCCATACTGTATTGCATCTCGCCAAGTAATATTTCCAGACTGACGGTGGATTGGCACTCTATAGACTGATACCCACGGTTGGCTAGAAGGGCATCTAAAGGAGAAGAACTATGGCGCCGATTGGGGTGACTTTGTCACTTTCTCGACGCATTTCAAGCATCAGGCTGGCAACAGTAAGCTGCTAAACTCTGTTTCTTCAACAGCCGTGTAACATCTAGTACGATGACAGTCGTCAGGGTTTGCTACACCATGACTTTTCAAGGTACCAATCTTACCAGAGACGAAAGCTAATATTTGAATTTGTAGTGGGCGTCGATCTCCTCATAGTTGACACAGGTATGTGGCAGCGGTAAATTGAATCCTGAACATAGCTGATATGGGGTGATAGGCGACTTGCACGATGGTGCCGGGTTGAGCGATGCTACGTCACCTGATGCAGCCGTTTCTATAAAGATCTTCGACGACGTGGACTACGACTTACTCGCGATTGGCAATCATGAGCTTTACTTGGCAGATGTGGCCTATCAGACCTTGTAAGTGACGTCTTGCGCTGTCCCAGATTCTCTTTTGATGCTCTATACATTTTCAAGGTGGAAGCTTTCGATTGAACTACCCCCCTCCCAAACATATGGAAATACGCATGATTTACTTGCTGCGAGGTGAAGTAGCTGACACATCTGATATCTGAAGGAATGAGATTTCGGCCTATTGTAAGTAACACCCCTTTTTACTTCTCATTCGGGAAATTTGAGGATGTAAAGGCTCACTTTTGGGCCAATTCCATTACCACTTAACTCTGCTGCGACCTCGAAGCATCCATAAACTACACACAGTTGGTGATCGCTAATCATGGGTGCTTGGTAGGGGGTGAAAAGTATCTTACATCCAATGTGCAGATCGTAGATCAAAGCGGCGAATGGAAGTACATTGGCAAGACACATAGGTATTTCACTACCCCACATGGTCTAAGAATAATGGCCTTTGGCGTCTTGTTTGATTTTACTGGTGAGAATTCTTGAAACCCTCGATTACTGTGCGATGGAGGATTCGAATAACTCTGACAATTGCCAGGAAACACCAATGTCACTAAGATCATACCCGCCAAGACCATGATCACTCAGAAATGGTTCTTAGAGGCTATAAACAGTTGCGACGATATTGACCTTTTTGTTCTCATTGGACATAACCCTGTCCGTGACAGCAGCTTTCAGACGGTCTTCGATGCTATCCGGGTAGTGCACCCCGACACCCCTATTCAGATCCTAGGTCAGTGCTTCAACCGAGCATTTGCAGTGTTGGTTATATGCTGACTGCCATCAAAGGCGGCCACAGTCATATACGTGACTTTACAGTGTATGATGATAGCAGCGTAGCGATTGAGTCAGGTGAGGCAATGTCTCGGGCGCCTTCGGTCTCCCATGATATCATCCAAGCGACCATGTCATGCTAAGTGGATAGCTAGGCCGTTATTGTGAGACCCTTGGCTGGATGTCTATGTCTGGCTTCACGAAGAAGAACAGCGGCTTCCACGGTATCTTCCCCAACCCTGCAAGTGTACCAAACCCCACACGCAAGGCGACTGAAACGTCCACTTCTCCTTGGACGTTTTCTCGCCGATACCTTGACTGGAATCGCAAGACGTTCATATACCGTAAGTTGTCCCCCCCCCTTCTCCCGCTGCCATCACTGACACAGCATCTGCCCAAAAGACGCCGAAACGTGGTACGACCACAATTTCGATTATGACAATGGACGGGCTACTACAGCCGAGATTGGCATGTATAGAGAGCAGCTGAAGCTCAAAGAGTTATACGGCTGCGTCCCCCAGCATTATTGCATGACATGCGCTCCGTTTGATAGCCCTAACAATATCTTCCCGCTATTGTCGACAGCACTGGCTGAAACTGTTGTTCAGGAAGCGCGCAAGGACAAGGCCCGTTACATCATCTCGAACACTGGCGGCATTCGCTTCGATCTGTATAAGGGACCCTTCACTTACGATGATAGCTTCATCGTCTCGCCGTTCCTAGATGCGTTTTTGTATATAAAGGATGTGCCCTATGCGCAGGCTAGCGCACTTCTTGACGCACTGAACGACGCCGGCGCCAGCCAGAAGCGTTCGCTTGGATATATGCCCATCGAGCGAGATATTTGTGTCGACCCCTTTGTCGAACCTCGCAGCGAGATGAAGCGTGATAATGAATACCAGAACGGTGTTTTTGGAATCACGAGGCGCCAAGTTGTGGATCTTGTGGCTGGATACACGACTACCGATGATTTCGGTACCGACGGAGACGATACACCACACTCGCAAATTCCGCATTATGAAATCCCTGATTTCTTCCAGGGCTCTGCTGGCTTCGACGAAGAGGGCCGGGCTGACTTCGTTGATGTAATATTTGTGGACTTGTATGTAAACCAACCTTCCAATTCCTACTCTACCACCAACTCCGCGTCCCTATCTTACCTTGATCTACCGGGGGGGGGGGGGGGGGGGGGGGGGGGGGGGGGGGGGGGGGGGGGGGGCGGGGGGGGGGGGGGGGGGGGGGGGGGGGGGGCG